ACCAGCAGGCGATAGGCTCCCTACTCCGGCCGATGAACCCCTCATCCTCTGTCCCTCTCCACCAGCACTGATGACGACCAAGTCCCTTCTCCTGGTTGACCATCCTCCGACATCACAGGTACCGCTTGCACCATCGGCTCCCCCCTTCCCGGAGCAGTGGGAGTCCGACTGATCTTCTGAACCAGACACAGCTCTCTCCCCTTATCGCTCCTATAGTTCTGACCCTGGGCACAGTGAGTACGGTCATGCCACTGACCCTTGGTTCCGGTACCCAACCTCAACGGTCCTCAACCTCCCGGTAGAGAATGTTCAGGACCCCCAAGACCAATTCCAGGACATTCTTCAACCTCCGGGATCCCCACCCCCCGCACAGCCTTGCCCATTCATTCGGCTATTTTACAACTGGCCCAGATGGTGTGGCACATGCCTGCCTCTTGTGCCCCAAGCCAAAGCGAGCAGAACACCGCTATTTCGTGCCCTCCAAGGGCACAGATTTTTTGTTCACCCATCCACCGCCAAAGTCTCTGGTAATCAATGCTGCCACTGCACGTGCCCGCCAGCAGCACTTCAGATCGACACCGCCAGATCGCAATGCCAAGAAACTAGTCTTGCTGGGTAGAAAAGTTAAACAAATTCATCCACAACTTTCATTTCTGGATGGTCACCCTCCCTCTTATTGTCCCCTGCCTCCCCCACGGAGCCTGGTTCGCGGCTCTTGATATGAAAGATGCATACTTTCATATAGCCATCCACCCTGCTCATCGCAAATTCCTCCACTTTGTGGTAGGCGATGCCCATTAACCGTTCCACGTCCTCCCCCGCACAGTCTACAATCCACAGGTAGACTCGCTTACCAAACCGCTGGTCCTCCCCTCCTATGTACTGACCTCCCTCTCCTGGTGGCCCAACCCCTCCACGGTCCTAGTGGTCATGCTATTCACCCCCCCACACTCACTGCCACCCTCACCACAGACGCATCCTTAGTGGCCTGGGGCGCCCACCTCAACGACCGCACAGCTCTGGGCTTCTGGTCCATGCGAGAAGCATGGATGCACATCAACATCCTCACACTCTGAGCAGTCCGTCTGGCCTGCCAAGCCTTTCTGGAGTGCCTCCACTCCCACCATGTCCAAGTCCTATCCGACAACATGACACCACTCATCTATATGAACAAACAGGGCGGCGCCCGGTCCCCCTCTCTGTGTGTGGAAGCTGTCTGCCTATGGAACTGGTGCCTCCGATACCAAATCACCCCACATGCCGTACATCTCCCAGGCACCAGCAACTTTCTGGCAGACAAACTCAGCCATTCTTTCCATGCCAACCACAAGTGGGAACTCCACAACCCCACTCTCCAATCCGTCTTCTACCACTGGGGCACGCCTCACTGCAACCTCTTTCCAACACCACAGAACAGCAAACTACCCCTGTTCTGCTCCTGAGGAGGCCTGGGTCTGCGCTCTCAGGGCGATGCCCTTCTTGTTCCCTGGACTGCACGTCTACTCTACTATTACATCTACTTCTCTCGTGGATTGGTAACTGGTTAAAAGACAGGAAACAAAGGGTAGGAATCAATGGTCAGTTTTCAGAATGGAGAGAGGTAAATAGTGGTGTCCCCCAGGGGTCTGTACTAGGGCCAGTGCTGTTCAACACATTCATAAATGATCTGGAAAAAGGGGTTAACAGTCAGGTGGCAAAATTTGCAAATGATACAAAACTACTCCAGATAGTTAAGTCCCAGGCAGACTGCAAAGAACTACAAAAGGATCTCTCAAAACTGGGTGACTGGGCAACAAAATGACAGATGAAATTCAATGTTGATAAATGCAAAGTAATGCACATTGGAAAACATAATCCCAACTGTACATATAAAATAATGGGGTCTAAATTAGCTGTTACTACTCAAGAAAGATCTTGGAGTCATTGTGGATAGTTCTCTGAAAACATCCACTCAATGTGCCGCGGCAGTCAAAAAAGCAAACAGAATGTTGGGTATCATTAAGAAAGGGATAAATAATGAGACAGAAAATATCATATTGCCTCTATTTAAATCCATGGGATGCCCACATCTTGAATACTGCGTGCAGATGCGGTCGCCCCATCTCAAAAAAGATCTATTGGAATTGGAAAAGGTTCAGAAAAGGACAACAAAAATTATTAGAGGTATGGAACGGCTTCCATATGAGGAGAGATTAATAAGACTGGGACTTTTCAGCTTGGAAAAGAGATGACTAAGGGGGGATATGATAGAGGTCTATAAAATCATGACTGGTGTGGAGAATGTGAATAAGGAAGTGTTATTTACTCCTCATAACACAAGAACTAGGGGCCACCAAATGAAATTAAGAGGCAGCAGGTTGAAAACCATCAAAGGGAAGTACTTTTTTCACACAACGCACAGTCAACCTGTTGAACTCTTTGCCAGGGGATGTTGTGAAAGCCAAGACTATACCAGGGTTCAAACAAGAACTAGAT